CACGACACATATCCCGCGAAAGGGACTCAACCGCGCCGTCCTCGTTGTTGCGCAATCATGTGTGCATGTATACACGCGCGCGCGACGTCTGTGGCATGTACGTAGATGTGCGAGGCAAACGTGCATCTAGCGCGCTGGTATTTGCGAAAGGCGTTGGAGGCATGTGGATACATGTAAAGCCATACATAAGAAAGAAACTACGAAGGTGGTTGCCTCCGCCTGGCTCCTTGCTCGCTCGCGGAGGACGGGGGACGGTGCGAGGTCGGAAGATGGGGTTGGAAATGGGAAATATGGGGTTTACCGGGTGTGGGTGTTCTGGGCTCTCGAGTATGCGGCAGATTATGATTGTGTCCACTCCCCGATGTCAGCGGTTCTCCGAGTCTGCCCGCTTCTGGATTGTGTTACTTTACTTATTGAAAATGTTAATATAACTTTACTACGCGTAAAATTAACATTTATTCGATTCCAAATAGATTTTATGTTGGTGGAAATTTAATTTTGCGCTCACTCATAAAGATATTTAATGCTGAAAATTCGTGAAATTCAAGATGTCCATGTAAAATCAATAGACGTTCACGAAATTCAATAGGCAATCTCGCCTGACTGCTAGGTCTCCTTCCGCTCTTTTAACGATTTCTGCATATATATATGATAATCATAATTTTACTGCGCATTATCGAATCGCGGTTATGACTTCGCACTCATAGCTTTTACGATAATACGTTACCGAAGAATACGCTGCCGGCGCGCGCCCCACAGGACACCGTCCTGTTTTATGTATATGCTCGTGTACGTTCTTGCACTGGCTCTGAGACGACTTCACCGCTCGTCTACTGCTCCCCGATGTACCCTGTCGGAGAACACACTGCTGCTCGGGTACTATCCTGCTTTCCGCCGCAATCCGATTCCGCCGCCCGTTCCTTCGGGCGAGATTACGTTGGTCCATCCTTCCCCTATCCTGGTAACCCAGCAAGACACCTCTTGCCATCGTTGGCGTTGATTTTATCCCAGGGATGTCGGTGTTTCAGCGATAAAAATATATAAGGTGGCATTACCGAGATACGTTTACAATCGTAATTTCATATATTCGCTTTTGCAATGTTGTTCTTTTCTTTAGAGAGAATCAAGAACTCCGATTATTATTGCGCGACTCTGTATGCGACTCGATATTTGATATTTTAATAATATTCTTGCATTTTTTTTAAATTGCAGATTTTGATAGAAAACGTTTTTCATCTTTCAAATATGTGTAATTTTGTGGATATTTTCAATATATTTTTCGAAAATTGAAACACATACACACAAGTCATTTATCTGCAATTGTGCCTGAGAATCTACGGAGAATGATAATCAGGAATTTCGAGGAATAAATGTCGTGTCTCTCAGAACCACGCGTAATTCCCAGCGTTACGATCCAGCGGCCATGGACAGTCGCTCCGTGGAACTGTCGTTTCTCTTTCGCGATTCCTGGCGCCAACTCGAGCGGCAAGTTTCAGCACAGAATTGCGCCGGCTGACGTTTCCCTTCGGGCTTCATCGCGCTGACCGGCCGATCCGGCGATTACCCGAAATTTCATTCACCGACTCGTCGCAACTCGAGGATAAAATGGCAGTTAATCGCTTCACGACGCAATTTCGGAAGTTGCGGCGCGAACTTGCTGGGAGCGTTTGCGCGTAAATGTCGCAATTATGACGAGAGAGAATGCCTCGTATGTGGAATAAACGGAAGAAAATATAAGTGGAGAGTTGCGATGAATAAAGTATATTCTCTAATTAAAATTTCTTCATCTTTCATTGTGTGCAGTAAATTTCAGCGATGTCGTAGAAATATATTTTCTTAAATTTCTCCAATAATTATTTGTACTTCAACTTATTTTATCTTCAAACTACTTACATTCATTAAACTGAAATAAATTGTTAAATTTCTCTTTTGTACGCATAGTACGGATATTGATACAAATATAACTAGCAAAAAGTATGTACTTTACGTAACGTGAACAATTTTCCCTGCGAAAGTATATGAACGTAACAACGTATAAAATACTGTTACATCGTGAGTCCAAATTACACTTTGAATTCAAGCCCGCAGTACTTTTGTACTTTGTTCTCCCTGTTTCTTTCGTTATCCACGAGTATGGGAAAGTTCTCGGGGCTCTGCAAAAAAGTTTATCCATTTTCACATATCTGCGCTCGTTTGCCTTCTTTCCTTTCGTTTTATAAAAGCCGCAATCCGATTCTGGAATCTTCCGCACCAGATTACGCCGCAATGTGTGCACCTCGTCGCATCGCGAAATTATAAACGAAACGATGGGGGACGACCGAATAACCGATGAAAGCCTTGAGTGGTATAAGTGAATACTAGTCACAGAGGTTCGTCCCTTGCGAGGAGGAGGATTCCGATGTCCTGTAAAACAATTGGTTCTGTGATGCAAATTTCTCAGAAGTGAGATATCTCCCTAGACGATACATTTAGAGAGATTCAGCAAAGACTGCTTCCCAATTAAACATTATTCAAACATGCTCGTTTCTTACGTTACATCTGTCTGATCCATTAGAACGGATTCTGACTACTACAATTAATAATCATCCTGTCAAGAAAGACTGGGTCAATTAATCAGATCGTTCAAGTTTGATAGCCGCTTATCGACTTAACATCGTTCAGTGAGCGCGTAAGCTGAAACCTGTTTATCGCTTATGAATTAATTAACTTAACACCTGGTGTTTTGGCAAGAGTTTAATCAATTTAACCGCAAGTTGGACGATCGAACGATCGGATCGCTTACCCAAACACGAACTTAGCTTAATTGAAACTTTAACCGCAATCTCTCATACCCGAGTATTATTCATTCAAGAATGATATTAAATTGTCAACTTTTTTCTGGAAATTTTTTCAAATAATAAAGATTTCTTTTATAAAAATTCTATTTATTTGTAAATCTATTAGATTGCAACGATAGAAATTGCGAAGCAGTCATTTTTGATAAATTATTATTAAATAGCAATTTATATCAAATTACTTGTGTCAATTTATATTTCAAATTTTCTCAAAAATGGAAAGCATTTTATAAACTTATTTGTTTTTCATGGTATCTTAAGCATTGAATAAATTAATTCCCAAATCAATTACTTTGCTTTTGCGCTTGTGCGAAAGGCAAGAGAGCTTTGTACTAAGGACGCTTCGCTCGTTGCTCAGATATTAGGAACAATAGCGGTAACATAAATCCAACGAAAGGAAATTTTCTCGCCGTGAAACTAGCGCGCGCGCGCCGAGAATGCACCGTGATTTCAGAGACTGCCCTATTTTCCGTAGCCACTCGTTCAACAATTTACTATCTGACGTTTCAAAGTGACGCGGTTAAATCTCTGGCCGTTTCCTTTCGCTCGAAAGCATTAGAAACAAAAGCATATAACTTTTATCTTCACGGCAACGAAAATATATCATTGACATTTTGAGGATTTTTTAAATAGTGACGAAAAACGAGAGAAGATCTTTTTTCAGATCTTCGTATTTAAAATAATTACAACAAATTGAACGAGATGTTATGTACATTGGTGAAAATACACATGGTTATTAAACAATCAATTAGCTAACGAGAGATTAATAATATTGCATTGATTTAAATACTTAATACAGGCGTTGTAAATTTATTATTTTTGATAATAATAGATTTATGGAGTACAATTTAGATGATATATAATTTTAATCTTATTAATTGGAACTTCATTGATAAATTGCATTAAACGGAGTGGAATAATTACAGACATTGATTGGTAAACAGTTCATAATGCTACAAATTGGTTGATATTATTATCACTTAAAATCTGATAATATTATTAATTGTTCTTTTGATCACTTCGTAATATTATAAATATAAGAATCGGATTTGTTTTAATTTTATATCATTATTATAAATATATATGTGAGAGATCTTACGCGGTTATTAAAGATTTAGTTCCTATGATTTTGATATGTAAATTGGATGCTTCCATCGCTCCATTTTAAATAATTATTTTTTTCATTATCATGCGTTGTTAAAATATCTTATTCAGCGTTCTAACAAGTCGCCGCTTCTCGATTGGCTCGTTTACGTTCACAATCAAGCATGACAAGCCAGTGTATAGGCATGCACGTTTAGCTTGTCGATGATATATGTGCAACTTATTGGAGAGATTTACGCGCCGTGCCTCTCTACTTTGTCATCCCCTGTTCATTAACATGGGCCCCAATCAGACTCTAAATTCGATTCCCTAATTAATGTCTCATACCATTTTTAATCAAAAAATCAATCCAATTATTGGTATATGTTCCTTTACCTCTCGTATAAATTTAGATAAAACATCTATTGGTAATAATACGGAACTTTTATAAACATTTAACGATAACATTCTCGATATAGCTTTTAACGTTTCCGATAATTGAGATCGGTATAATTTCAATCGATTAATCCAATTTTGCTAGAAATACAGGAATATGTATTCTCTACATCAATCGTTGCATTTCCGGTATTATTAACATAGAGATTATTTCAATATATCAGTAATGTTGAAACCTAATTGCATCGAAAATATATCGATTTAAAAATAATTTGTAACGTTTTACAATAGCGTTTTGTAAATTGGAATGACGCCACGTTTTCGCGTTGTTTCGTTGTAGACAAAAATAAAAACGGTCGGGTCGCGTTTTTTGTTAATGTAAACGTTCGAATGAAACGTTAAGAGATACTAATCGAAAAGCACTTATACTCATGGCAGAATTTCAGCACGTCGAGGCGAACGAATTGTAGTCGAGTTTGCGCGCGACGCCGCGACGACGCCTCGTCCGACTTTCCGCCATCCGGGATATCCAGGGTGCGGTAAATTCTTAATTACTACGCAAATGAGTTTTGCATCCTTCATGAGACTTAGAAATTGGAATGCGCGGAGAATTTCGTACGTGCTTGGGTGCGCTTAAGCGTCAGCGATCGGCGATGCGAGAGAGTTTCGACTAAACCGGCACGGTACCTTGTTTGCCTCGTTTTCTTGCAACCCGCATCGTCTCGTCTCGTCTCATCGCACCGTGATTATTTCGTTCCAGATCGTCATACATCCACGAACCACGCTGAAATTGAAATATTTTCATCGCTTTTAACGACATGATTTAATGAATATATGTTTTTGATCGCAAACATATGTATATTCATGGCACAGAAACGGACTTCAATATTCGAGTAATGTTCCGCACATCAACATTTACAAATGTTCCAAAAACGAAGAAAATTATGTGTAATTTATATGAATTTATGCTAAGTGTAATTTAGAGTTGATCAAAAGCTATTTTCGATCGCAAATTCGTCAAAGAATATTTTCAATTAAGATCATGAATTTTGAAAAACTCTGCGTGCGTATAAACGATAATACCTTTTAATCATTTATTGCAAAAATTGTATAATTACAGTACGCATTCGATAATGGTATATTGATGGAAATATTTTTGCCGGCCAATATGCTGCTTTCCATGAAAGGGCGAAAAGTGTTTTCGAAAAGATCGCCGGTATAAAAGGTTTAATTTGTTTGTAACGTATACACGTAACCCCTCGTGGAGGTTTAGCAGAAACTGCAAGCGCCATGTGCGTATCTGGGAATTGGAGCAACCCGTTTCCAATTCGGCGAGCGACGGTAAATCCGTGCCAAACTTTTGCGGTTTTTTTTTCCACTGCGCGTGAGCTCGCACGTTTCACAGCTGCACGGTTTGGCCTACGATTGTCACATACGCTTTATGAAAAATTAACGTTGCTGCCATTAAGATAACGCGGTTTTGCATATGTACAGTAGAGATGGGACCAGTGCGCGCCTGTCTCGTGCCACTTAAAATATTACAGCGTAAAGTAATGCATTACTGTAATATAGCCGCACCAGGACGCATGTTATACTTTTTATAATATCACGTTACGACGATAAGACAGCTATTTTTCTTGCTTTTAATACAGCTAAAATGACTAGGAAGTTAGTACCGCGCGATGATATCGGTTGTACTGACTGAAAGTAAGAATTCATGTGCTGCGATCGTAACTTGATATGATAAGAGAATTAATCTAATACTAAATTAAAGAAGGAAACGTAAAGGGCGTGTCCTGGTAGGTTGTGACTTATATATTACATGTAATAAAATAAATATTTTACGAAAAATTTGAAAACAGCTTGTCAATAGACACAAAGAAAAAGATTTAATTAAACATCAATATTCTTCGTAACTTTTGTCTCTTTAATACTAATGTCGACATGTCGTTACGCGTGATATGATCTTCAATTAAATCCGTTAAAGAGAAATTCGAAATAAATTTGAAATTAATCCCAGAGAGTAGTCTTTCCTTATCGAATTTGGAATTATTTATCAAGATATCTTTGTATGTTATTAAACGCTAATAATTGAATTAATTAAAGCACGTAGCTAAATTTCTACCAAATAAAAGCCAGTATTAAATTTATCACAGCAAATATCTTTATGATTGATTACCACTTTGCTGTGAATATAAAGTTTCATGTACTGCCGAGCAAATATTGCGATATTATCATTGCAAATACACATATACCTGTTCAGTTTAATAAGAGCTATATCGATCTATCTTAAAAATGGAACGCGTGGCTCGATCGATTCGGAGATGCAATCTCGATGGTTATGCACCGCCGTCGTTCATTGGTTATTTTGAGACGCGGCTTGCGAAGAGAAGCCAGTGTACTCGCATCCATTTCGTCATAAACGTCGAAATGTGTATTCGCCGCTCTTGCTTCACGAAGAGAAAGGGGGAATTTAAATGGCGCGTGCTTTGTGATTTAAGGATATCTTCGTCACGCCCCCGAGCCGGCGTTCACTTCAATTAATCAGCTTTAAGCTGCACCTTGATTACTAGTCCGAACATATACCCTTCTGCCGTTTACACACACACACACACACATCCGCCGACGTGGCGGCGTGATCACTAAGGCACTTAGGCGGACTATAAAACGGGAGATAGGCATGCAAGATTCAGATAAATCGCTAAATAAAGGCGGACTCTTGTAATGTTGTAAATTATTAATTTTGCAATTTATCTAGAATTTGTCACTGCTGTTATATTTATGTGTGTGGTTGTTTGCCTTCGTTAAAACGTTTCTGTATGCTGTATTTTTTTCATAACTTTGACGTAACGCGTTCAAAAATAATGGAAAGCTTATAAAAGATGTATTAAAATTTCTATATGGTATAGATATTATAAATGTATAAAAAGGCGTTAAAATCGGAGAGTGAAAATGTTGAGACCGAGTTTTACTTTGCCGGCTCGTTTTATATAATATTAATTATTAACGATTAATTAATTCATTAAAAGAGTAATTTTAGTCAAGATTTAATGGATTATTTTTCGATAATTATTTTCAAATGAATTGTATAAAATTATAATGCAGTGAAATTCTACTCTAGGGAACTTATCAACATTTGCGTGATATTTATATCAATATTAAATCATAATTGGTGTTCGTGTCATTACACTAAATGGTTTCCGAGATAAATCGCGCACTCTCAGTTAAAGTCTTCATTTCGTTCAAGAATTGATTGGATTTGTAAGCGTGAAATTAAGGTATGTGTCTCAAGATCCGGCGAGCATGATAACGCATCATCCCAAGATCCCTGTTAACATAGGAAAGATTTCAACGACGGTCATAAATTACCTCATTTATCTCGGATCAGAGACTAAATTCTTTCCCGCGCTCGTCTCCGAAGTTTCTCGCGTCGTATCCTCCTTGCGTTCTTCCATCAACGCACGCGCGGCGCCTGAGGCGATATTTCTGTTAAGGAATAGAGGGGCTTCGATAAGAAGTCACGTTCGTATATATCCTGCGGTAGCGATTCACAAATTACCCTGTCGACGGCTCGGCCATTACCGGTGGCTTCCTTAGGGTTCCCCAGTGTGCCTCGAAACCTTATGGCAGAAGATACTAGGCCGTCGTTTCCTCTATCTCGGTACATACAATCTCCGCGGAGCGGAAGCTAGGCTTGATCCCATCGTCGGTACATGGCCGCGGAGTCTGTAAGTTCGCATCTACGTGATGATCCGTAGGGCAGTCGAATAATAAATAGCTCGCCGATCTCGATCCAAAGGCTTCTCGCAGCCGACAGACGCGCGCGCGTGATTGTCGACGCCTGAACAATTTGAATATAAGGTTAACGAGAGACTGAAGGGCCCGACTATTCAACCGAAAAATCCAGCTGTCGGTATCGGGAAAAAAAAAAAAAAAGATTGTAAAAGCGTCGCCGGTGTATCGTCATAAAGCGAAAGGTGATTTATCGTAAATTCAATACAAGCCCAGGGACATCTAATCCGTCCTCGTGTCCCTTAACCGACATCCATGTTCCGGAAAATCCTTTGTAATTTGACCGCTGCGCTCAAAAGATGAGCCACGGTGCATGAAACGTTAGCGACGTCGAGTGGCGGAGGATGGACAGGGCGCGGAGAAGGATGGGCGGATAGGTGAAGGCTGGGACAGAAGTATCGATCCGCCGAGACGACAGCTTCGTGTTTACATCGGTGCCTATTCGCGCTTGCGTTTGTTAGGATACGTGACGGCGGTTATAGGAGCGCCGTGAATTATTTCGATTGTAACCCAGCTTGACGCAGGTCGCCGTCGTTAACAATTGCCCGGGCACGAAGTGCAAAGCCACCGCGGCATCGTTAACAGGAGCTACAGCTCGATGGCATGGCACCGCCGTTGCCTCGTTGACTTTCACGGTGTTGGCGGAACGTACGCATTATTACGTCTACCGGTGATATAACACCGCTCGTACACGCTTTACGATCTCAGGCGCGCAGCTATCAAGTTCCCCGAGATCTTCGGCGGCACGTTTCATCGCGATCACGGTCATTATCGATCCAATGTATTTTCGGATATGGTATTTTTACGATCAACGCCGGTAGCCCCTCTATGTAAAACATCCTGAAATAGAAACAATATTGAACATCCGAACTTATGAAATATATTTTTTAATCTTTCTTATTTGGGTCAAACGTGCACATATTTATCTATTTGATAAAAAAAATCATAAAAATATGGTTATGATATAATAAAAAAGTAAAAAATCAAAAAATAATAAAGAAAAATAAATTTCCCTTGATGGATTCTAACTTTATGTTACTCATTCAAAATGGTTGGATTTTATAAAATTATAATGTATATATTTTTTTCAACAATAAAATATGTGTTATATAAAGGTAAACTTTAAGTAGTACTCGGTCGAAATAAATATCATATACAGAAATAGCCGACTGCAGAAATATACAATTAAATGTTAAAATCATTTAAATAATCGATTTGCACATTTCGGTGTCTCCTCTGATTTAAATTATAAGTACATTTGCTAATGAATAAAAATATTTCAATATAAGATGTGACGTGAAGAATTGAACGCGTAATACGAGATAATTTAATTCGTGCTTTTCCTGAATTTCTGAAACTATACGTTTTGCATAGTAACTTTCTTGTTAAATATTTAAACAGAAAGCTCACGAATAATGTAACAGATCACTCAGCAGCGTTTCAAATTATATGCGCATCCGAAATTTTTATCTCTATCTGTATCTACAGAGTGTTTTCGCCTCCAGTGAAGAAAATTCGTAAAATATTCCTTTTATATGCGTAATACACACACACACACACACACACACATACTCCTCTCTCTTTCTCTCTCTTCCCTACTCTTTCTATCTTTCTTTTTTTTCTCTCTTTCTTTCCGACAAAGCCGATAGATTATACCGTTTATTCAAACAGCTGCAAAAATTAGAATATAGTAAAACTGTCTCAAAGTTTTAAAACGTGAAATTGCCTGTGGCGATATCTTTCCTGATTATGACAAATCTTTAGAAATACGATGACGGTCGCGAGTTCAATTTAGACGGTAGGAATCAGCGTAACTAGAAACGCGCACGTATAGATATGGAAAATGCGATCAGAACACCGACGAGAGGAAAACGGCTTACCTTCGCGAAACCTTAAGTAATTGCCCGCTGACGACATCGCACACTTGCGGAAAATGTTCCTTTACATTAATTCGGGACTCGCATGGAGAGCGCTTTTTCCTTGGCGACTTCG